GGCATTCACGGAGCGACTGCGCCGGGTGTGTCTGGACAGACCTCAGGGCGGCCCGGCCTGCCCAGTGGGCGGCAGTGGCTCCGTGCGTGGCTTTAGGTCGCGTCGCTCTGCACTGGGGGTGTCACGGCTGCTGAGCCAACACGGGTGCAGTTGGCAGTCTCTGCTCTGTCGTGGCACAGTGTCCACCAGTGTCTTTCCAGTAACCTACATGTACGCTTTGCACACGTAACCTTTTCTGTGAGTTGACGTGTTGACGCGGCTTTGTCCAGGACTTAAATTTAGACTGTGCTCGATGAAATCGGTTCCGGGTTGGTTCTGTTAACGCTGTGCCCACTGCTGAGGACCGCTGGCCGGGCTCACTTCGTGGCCCCCCCAGTGCACTCAGGGTCACGAACCTGCTCTTCCAGGTCCTTCACAGAGCAGCTCAGAAAGATCTCGCGAGACGCCGGGATGCCCATCCAGGGCCAGCCGTGCTTCTGCAAATACGCACAGGGCGCGGACAGCGTGGAGCCCATGTTCAGGCACCTGAAGAACACGTACGCCGGCCTCCAGCTGGTGGTGGTCATCCTGCCGGGCAAGACCCCTGTTTACGGTAGGCCTCTGGCCGGGCCGCCGGCCCTCGGAAGCTGCTGTTGCCTCCGTGCGTGGTCCCTGTGGCCTGGCCCCCTTCGCTTTGCCACACTGAGGCAGTGCCCCTTCCTGGCCCACCCATGCGCTAGGAACACCAGGGCGGCTTCTGATCATGGCCGAGCAGATGCTCAGGCCGCCCGTGCAGTCCTGTCTAAGGCCGCCGTTCCTGGAGGCCAGCGTGGCTGTGGTTGTCCACCGCCCGGCACGGGTGTTGGCTGGGTGCGGACAGTCGTCCGGCATACACGGGGCCGTCACCAGCTCTTGCTATGACCTGATCTTCCACGTGTGATCACTGGGCGCAGCTCAGAATTCTCTGGAAGTTCACTAGAGCCCTTTCTGCCGGGGCATTCAGCTCGGGTTTACCAGGCCCCGGGCTGGTGTTCGGGCTGTCCCCAGGCCGGCGGGGGTGCCATGCAGACAGGTGGCTGTGGCACAGGCGGTGTGTGCTGCTCGAGGTCTGCTGAAGGCCGGGGCTCCTGATGGGGCGGGCTCTGGGGACGGGGCCCTGTGGGGCGTGGGCGCCGTGGGCAAAGCCAGACTTGGCCGGGTGGGTCCCCGGACATGGAGACAAGTGCTCCCCCAGCCACTTATGGATCCAGAAGCGAAGGAACGAGGATGTCATCAGGCCTCTCCTATCACTCCCCCGGGAGCCACCCGTCCCCAGGCCTGCCCAGGGAGCAGGTGCCAGTTGCCTCATGGAAGAGCCAGAAATAGAGAGTGTGGGCCCAGCTCGCTCTTTGATGTCGGGCCGGCCGTGGCCGAGGGCGTGCGGGGTTCCAGTGTGTTTATTTTTAACTCCTCGAGCACTCGCTCTTGGCGGCGGGCACTGTGGCGGGAGGTGGTGTTCTTCGCCAGGAGTGCCAGGCCCTGGGTCCCGGCCGGGCTCGCCCGCACCGCCTGCCGTCCAGATTGGCCCCTGAAATGGTCCTCACTCCTTCATGACGAGTGGGCCACGCCCGCCCGGCCTCCGGCCTGAGTGGGGTGAGGCTTCCGCAGGCCGGCAGATGGGCCAGCGCAGACCCGCCTCTCCCCGCCTGCCAGGCACCGTCTTGCTTGGGCTCGGCTACCGGCAGGGCGGGCAGAAAGGCCCAGCGCGGCGGCTGTGGGCGCTCGTGTGCGTTCGATCGCGTCTGCAGTTTCCGCCGGGGCGGGCGGGGTGCGAGGGCCAGCTCGGGGGCGTGCCAGCGAGGACTGTCCCACATGCGCCTTGTGTGCTCCACAGCCGAGGTCAAGCGCGTGGGGGACACGGTGCTGGGGATGGCCACGCAGTGTGTGCAGATGAAGAACGTGCAGCGGACCACGCCGCAGACGCTGTCCAACCTCTGCTTGAAGATCAACGTCAAGCTGGGGGGCGTGAACAACATCCTGCTGCCCCAGGGGAGGTAAGGCCGCCCCTCCCGCCTTGCGTGCCGCGCTCACCGTGTGATTCCGTGGGGCGACGCCGTTCCCTGGGGAGGGTCCACTGAACTTATTAGGAGACAGTGTGGTCAAGCGGAAAGGACTTGAATGCGGTCTGATAGCCGTGACCTCGGGTTCTGGTCCTGCTGGGAGGGGTCATCAGACGCGCCCCGTCCCGGGGGTGAACAGGACCTGTCGAGGGCAGGTGGTCGCCGGAGACACCTGCGCTCAGTCGGCAGGTTGTGCGTGCGCCGAGCGCCCCTGTGGGCCTGGAGTTGGGGCCACAGCGGTGACTCCCTCGGGCAGGAGGCGGCCACCGAAGGTTCGTGAGTGCAGTGCGCTCCAGGTGCAGCGGAGCCACAGGCCTCTGTTATCCCCAGGATGTCTGGTGGCAGGAGTGTGGGCGCCCGGAAATGAGGGTGTTTGAGTCGGAGACGCAGGGCTGGCTGACGGGTTGAGTTGTGCTGTGAGCGGAAGAGGAGAACTCGGGGTGTGTCCGGGGCCCCCTGTTCCTGGGCTTGTGGGGAGAGGAGCCAGCCCCTTGGGTAAGGGGGCCCAGGGGATGCATGGTGGCCTCCGTCGGCCCTCAAGGGAAAACAGGAGGTCGGCGTTGGGGTTGTAGGTTTAGGGGTCCATGGCGCAGAGGTGGTATTTAAAGCCACGAGGTTGGCGAGGCTCGTCGGGGGAGGGTATAGACAGGAGGGAAATCCCAGCCCTCCTCCCCAGGGAGTCTGGGGTTAAAAGGTTGTGGGGTGAGGAGCCAGCAATGGAGCCTGGGAAGAAGGGAGAGAGGGGTGGGTCTTGGATCCCAGAGGTGGCGTGTTCTGTGTCACATGGTGCTGCTGGGCCCAGTCTGATGAGGTCTGAGGCTGGACCACGGACAACACGGACGTCGCTGGTGACCTTGCACAGAGGAGTCTGGTTGCCATGGCAGCGTGGAGCCTGGTTGGAGGCTGAGCACTGGGAGGCAGTGAGTGGTTCAGCTAATTCCGGGAGCGTTGCCACGAGGTGCTCCCCAGGCCACTGAGATGAGGAGGCGGAGGGAGGAGAGCAGCGTCCACGGGCGGGGGCCGTGTGGCCTGTTGGGGGCCGACTGGTGGGCGGGGCCGTGTGGCCTGTTGGGGACCGTGTGGCCTGTCGCGAGCCATGTGGTGTGCGGGGGCGTGTGGCCTGTCGGGGGCCATGTGGCGGGCAGGGGCGTGTAGCCTGTTGGGGGCCATGTGGTGGGCGGGGGCCATGTGGCCTGTTGGAGGCCATGTCTGTGCCTGTGTGTGGAATGAGGCAGAGGTGGGAGGAGGCAGCGGCAGGTGGGCGCTATGGGGTCGGGGGCTCAGCACGGGCGCTGTGGGCGGGAGGTGTGGCGCCCGCAGCCCTCGTCACTGCTCTCACCGTCGGCGGACAGTGAGGACGGAGCGGGCGCCTGAAGGGTGAGGAGAGGGGTTGGCAGGACCCGTCAAGAGCCTCCCGAACTCACGGTCAGGGATGTGAGGCTGGGCGGTCAGCACGGTTGTGGGCCGTGTCTCCGCCCAGCCCGTGCCCCTCTGCGGAGACAGGATGGTGACAGTAACACATGGAGTGTCCAGTGCCTGTGAGTGCCACGCTTGGGAAGCGGGGAGCAGGCAGCCTTACGATGCCTCCCGGGGAGCCCCGGAGCCACCAGACATGGGTGGAACCGTGCTGGGGAGGGGACGCTGACATGATGGGAACACACCGCACCCCTCCCCACCTCACCTCGGGCCGGGGCGTTCCTACACGAGTGTGGGGGGCGGCGGCGCATGAGGCCCTGTCGAGTTGGAGTCTCGCTGAGCTGCATTCCCCACACACCCGTCTCCTGCCCCAGTCAGCAAACACACCATGCTGCTGGCCGCTGGCCGGGGTGACAGTGACACCAGCCACTCCCAGTGTGCGTGGGGCGCCTGGCCCTCGGAAAGCAGTGACGTGCGTGAGTGCGTTCAGTCCTCAGGACAGGAAGCGTTACCGTCCCCACTTCTGGGCAGGAAAGCAGTGACGTGCGTGAGTGCGTTCAGTCCTCGGGACGACCCCGAGGACAGGAAGCGTTACCGTCCCCACTTCTGGGCGAGGAGAGCAGTGCACAGAGTGAGCTCCAGAAGGCACAGCCACATGTGCAGCGACCTGCGCGCTGTCTGCAGCCCGGCCACGCTGCCTTCGCAGGAAAGCCACGGCTGGAGGACAGTCAGCCTTTAAAAGATGGCGGGGCGGGGAGCTCAGAGCAGTGCTTCTCAGCCGGGGTGGCTCTGCCCCCCCGGGAACGTGTGGCAACGTCTAGAGGCATTTGGGGTGCAGCTGCGTCTAGTGGATAGAGAGCAGGGATGCTGACGCACAGGACGGTCCCACCCCCAAAGAATGGTCCAGCCCCGCGCACCAGCGAGGCACCCTGGACTGGTGTGGTTGCAAGTCCAGGATTGACTGACACACTGTGGACTTTATTTATTCTTATATAATTATTTTGGAAATTTCTAGTATGTGCAAAGGTCGCACCCTCACCTCCCGGACGCTGGTCAGCAGGCGGCAGTGCCTGAGCAGTCTGGTTTACCCCACGCCCCCTGCGCCGCCCCCCCGACTGGGTTCTCGTGTCATTCACCTGTAAGGTTTTCTGTGTGTGTGGGACTCTGAACACAAATAACCACGGTACCCTCGTCACACGTAACGATGGCACCGGGACCGTCAGGGGCCCGGCAGTGTCCGAGCCCTGGCCTCTGACGCTCCCGCTTCCCCCCGCAGGCCTCCCGTGTTCCAGCAGCCCGTCATCTTCCTGGGGGCCGACGTCACTCACCCACCCGCCGGGGACGGGAAGAAGCCCTCCATCGCTGCCGTGAGTGTCAGCGCCTTCTGCCGGGTTCCCCTCGGCGACGTCCATCCCCGAGCTGCTTGTGGGAGGGGACGCGGTCCCACTCGGCTGGATGCCTGGAGCTTCCAGACTTCCTTAGTGCAGCTGGCGAAATCAGAGTCTCATGGAACGTAGCTATGCGGGGGGCACTGCAGGTGGATGAGGACGTCTCAGGACAGCGAGAGTCAGCACTGTCCAAGGCCCAACCCGACCTGTCAGCACACGAGGGCCCCCGTGAGGGGCCGTCATCCTGTGACCGGCCACCTGCCATCCTGGCGACACCTGACGGGTCGGCAGCCCCCCGGGGAAGGGGCCTCCATGGGTTACAAAATGCCAAACGTAAACGGCCAGACAGACCGGAGTTAAAGGTCGTCTCTCCTTTTCCATCCGCTTTCAGTCCCCTAGAAGTGACGCATTAGCTGGGTCACCCGCTTCAGCCGCAGCCCCTCCCCTCGCTCTGACCTGGAGGGTGCCGTCCAGGAGGGGTGCGGCGGCCTTGGTCTCGCAGGTGCTCACAGCGCCGAACACCCGGCCGCCCATCCGCTCCCCTCGGGCTGGGCCTCGCCTCCGCACGCGGGCGGCTGTTCCGGGGAGGGCGGCGTGGTGGTGGCCGTGGCCTTTTGTTCACGAGGATGAGGCAGGCGCGTTGTCCGAGTGCTGTGGATTTAAACGTGAGTGCAGAGCACGGGCTCTGCCGCCACAAAGTCCTCTTCCGTGGGACACCCCAGTGCTCTGCAGCCAAGGCCGAGTGGTGGGAAGGAGGCCAGGTACGGGGTTGCACGTCACCATCGTCCCCAGTGGGGACTGCTGTCGTGTATCGTCATTGGTCGGGAGCCACCTGGGGGGCTCGTGCGTCCTGCAGGCTGATGAATAACGCTGGCACTTTCTGCTACAAGTCGGGCACCGAGCCGGGCGCGTCACCACGTAGGCTGCTTATCTGACGAGGTCAGCGTTCGTTCCCCCACTTAGCACGGAGTTCAGAGGCCGAGCTCCGTGCCCGGGAGGAGCAGCGGAGAATACGCTCTAGGCGCCCGAGGTCAGGGTGGGTTCACAGCGGCGTCCTGCCCGTGCTGCAGGGTGGCAGGGGCGGCCACGCCCGTGGGGTCCTCGTGTGCTGCTTCCCTCCACGTAGCAGCTCTTTCTAGAGCAGCCACAGACACGTACATGTCCCCAAAGGGTCTCAGGTGAGGAGCTGGAGGCACACGCGTGGGCAGGGCCACCGCCCGGCAGCCCACTGCTCCCCGAGGCGCTTCAGATCCTGAGACGGCCTGCAGCCTCCGGGGTTCCCCTCGGCGACGTCCATCCCCACAGCACCCGCTCTGCACCTGTTACTCGGGCGGCGACTCAGACAACCCCCGCCCCCGGCCACGGCACGTTTGCTTCGCTCGGTGCCTTCGGCCCTTTCCTTATCTGATGTGGGAGGCCAGCACAGGACAGCCTGGTGCCGCAGTGGCTCTTGCTATCTGTTCCATCAGCTCCCTCTGGACAGGGGCTCACAGGCCAGTGTGCCTTTGGGGGGCCCTGCCACTCCCAGGGGTCAGAGTCTTGGGGGGCGTGCGTTGGTGTGTGAGTGGCTTCTTTGAGAAAGCAGTATGCTTTGTAAAGACCGGGGAGGGTGTCCCCAGGTGGCTTCCTTGGGCGGATGTAACAGCCACGTCTGCTCTCACAGGGGAGGGTGCGGAATAGTCGCCTGTCTTCCGCTGGGTGCCTTGGGCAAGTGTTCGTTCTTCGGAAGGTGTGCGAACGCTGTGCCACGTACTGGAGAGTGTAGAGGTGGCACCGGCATCTGACAGGTCGCTGTCGCTTTGCCGCGGCGTGAAGCTCGGGGTGGAGACGCGCCTGCCCGGGGCGCCCCGGGCCGGCTCCCGGCAGCTCTGACACGCACCCGGCCCCGCCCCACAGGTCGTGGGCAGCATGGACGCCCACCCCAACCGCTACTGCGCCACCGTGCGGGTCCAGCAGCACCGCCAGGAGATCATCCAGGACCTGGCCGCCATGGTGCGCGAGCTCCTCATCCAGTTCTACAAGTCCACGCGCTTCAAGCCCACCCGCATCATCTTCTACCGCGACGGGGTCTCCGAGGGGCAGTTCCAGCAGGTGGGCGACGCTGGCTGTCCCTCTGTCCCCGCGTGTCCCCCATTCACGCGGTCTTCCCGCGGAGCAGCCTCTGGGTTCTCCAGCGGGAGGGGCGGTGCAGTGGGCGATCTGTCCCCGTGTTCCTCTGGTCCAGGGGCGGGGGGTGGGCCGGGCAGGGGCTGGCGCTTTTGGGTCCCGGTGCCCAGCTGGCGGTGCCGGGGCAGGCTGGAGCACGGGGTGCTGCTGGTGGGCTGCAGCGCTGTGGGGCAGGCTGGACGTGGAGGGCGCAGAGGCAGGTGGGACCACGGGGGGTCCGGGGAGGCTGTGGGAGCCTCTTCTGAAGCAATGTCAGCAGGACCCCCAGCACTGTTTGGCTGCGGAGGGAGGGTGGCATGAGGGTCACAGCTTTGGGCAGCTGTCTGGGAGGCAGCGGCGCCACCACAGACACGGAGAGCAGAGCGCCCGTGGGCAGCAGTGACCCGTCCCAGCCTGGGTCTCGGGAGGTTCATTCTCTCCGAGTCTCCACGTGGCTGGGGACACACTCCATGTGCCGAACACACATTCCACATCCTGAACATACGCTTCGCTGGCAGACGCTAGCGGAGGCTGGGGTGGGGTGTGGGGCCCGTATCTGAGGCTGCAGGAGACCCACCAGCAGGAGGGCACCCCGAGGGCTTCCCGGTGTGTTTGGGGCCCCGGGCTGCCCGGTACACAGGCTGGTGCCGCCCGACAAGGCACGATGCGATTGCCTTCCTGGTCCAGAGCAGAAGCAGCAGCTGGTCCCACTGTCCTGCGGTTGGCGAGGACGATAGAATAGACGCTCCCTGACCACTGGTTCCCGTGCCGTCCCTGGCGGGTCCAACGTCCAGCGGCCACCAGCCTATCTTGAGCGCGCTTCTTGTATTAAACCTGGGCTCCCTGTGGCTGGAAGCGTTCTGAGCTCCCAGCCCTGTCTCCCTCTGTCACAGTCACTGCTTCTAGAGAGGAGGGTTTGTGCCTTTCTGTCTGTCACTCATGAACATGCCCAGTGTCTTACAGGAGCACCCAACTGGGGTTTCTGAACCCAGAACCCCTGACGTGTTTTTGAGATGTCATAATGCAGTATTTAATGAGGACAGTTAAAATCTCAGGTGCATGGTCCCTGTAATCAGCCTCGTCACACGCCATGGGTCACCTGCCCTTCTGTCTCTGATGGCAGATGGGGGGATGAGATGGTGTCGTCACCACCCTTGTACCCTAACTCCCGGGGGCTTACATGCCACGTGCTTGCTCTTCACGTGACTTTAGTCTTCACACCAAATTCGTGAAGTAGCATGTCCCCATTTTAAAAGTGAAAAGCAGGATCGGCAAGGGTACGCGGCCACCCGAAAGCCACATGGCTCCTTAGTGGTGGACTTAGGATGTGAACTCAGCTCCGACTCCTAAGCCGGTGTTTTTTCTACTAGATCCTCTCCGTCCTGACACAAAAAAACAAGTTGTTGAATCAGTGTGTTCCCATTTGTGTCTTCCATGGTCCCTCCTTGCTACCGTGTGTGTATGGCAGGTGCCACTTATTGAGCACTTAGGACATTCGGATTCTGTGCTAATCATTTTGATGTATCATCTCATTTAAAGCATTTAGCACGAAACCTGGGTATCATTCACTCCATCGTATAAATGAGGAGAAATAGGCCCAGAAAGGCAAAGGCACCCAGCTGACAGCGGGCCGGCGGAACTAGACCTACCTACCGATATTCGTCAAGTGGTAGATGTTATTCGGGGGTTTATTTTCAGGTAGCCGGAGCCCGTAAAAACCTAACAGCCTCAGGCGTGCCTCTCTTGCCCCCAGGTTCTCCACCACGAGTTACTGGCCATCCGGGAGGCGTGCATCAAGCTAGAGAAGGATTACCAGCCGGGCATCACCTTCATCGTGGTCCAGAAGAGGCATCACACGCGGCTGTTCTGCACGGACAAGAATGAGCGGGTGCGTCTCCTCGGCCAAGCCACACTCTGCGTTCCTGTGGCTGCCGCTGCCCCAGGTCCTAGGGAGACCCTGTCCGCAGAGGGGCTTCGTGGGGACGCAGCCTCAGGCACTGGAGAAGGGCCGTGAGACTGTAGAGAGGTTTGGACCTGTAAATCCCACAGCTCTGGGACAGGACCAGGGGGTGTATGTCATTCATCCGACACAGAAATGACCAGAGAGGTGGCCCTGAAAGAGAACCGGTCAGCAGCCGCGGCGATGGGTGGCGGTCACGAAGGGTGCAGGAGGACGGTGTGGACTCGGGAGGCGGGGGCCAGAAGGTGGTCCCGGGGGCGCAGTCAGGGGTCTGGGGAGAAGGTAGAAGATGGCGAGTGTCACGGGCGGCCAGGTCCCCCCATGTGTCTCCTGAGTGTTCCAGAATGAAAATAGTGAGCGGGAGAGAGAAGCGAGTTTTGGGGGTGTAACTGCTGGGAGTTCTCCACAGGGAGGCGAGGCGGGCGTCCTCGCGTTAAAGCTGCTTCTGCGTTCCCAGCCGGTGAAGACAGACCACACTGTTTTAAAGCTGCAAAGCCTCGAGGCAGCCTGCTTCAGAAAAGAGAGCCTCCCAGGAGGAGGGACCTCAGAGGATGAGCAGCCCTGGGAGTGGTCACAGCAGGGCCAGAAGCCAGTGGGTTCATATCCACACGGTGCCAAAGGCAGGCATGACACAGCATCCGCTGCCACCGCCGTGGTGACACAGCACAGGAAATGCTTATTGTCTAAATGGAGGACGGAATGCAGCCTGAGAGCTAGTGTGAGAAAGAGGAGTGCTTCGTCACACTCCTAGGGATGATTCACCGAGGAGGTATTACAACTAGGGGCTTGGATGTACCTCACTCCATGACCTAAAAATATGTGACGAGAAAAAGAACAGCAAAGCAAAAACTGACAGGATTCCCAGGGACAGTGACAGACCAGACCTTCTCTCCAGCGGTGCATTTTAACACACCGCTGTCAGACGCCGAGACAGGCACGTTGGTCAAAACCGAACGTTGGAAGCGCGGGGGGAAACCTTTTAACAAGCCACGTCTAGTAGGTAGATGGAATCTTGCCTGTAACAGCTGAGTTCCCGTGGAAGGCTTTCGGAAATATGTCTCGTACCAGGTGACAAAGGAGGTCTCAGGGGACTTGTAAACCTCCGGGTCGTGCAAAGTACTGTTTTTGATCATTATACGATTAAATTTTAAATCAACGGCAGAAAAAAACGTTTAAGAAAGCTTGAAATTTTAAATTCACTCTCAAGTAGCACGTGCATTAAACACGTAGAGAGAATAAAAATGATAAAATAATTAGAACTGAACAAAAACAAGACAATTTCGTATCAAACTCTAGGCAGCATGGCTAAGGCAGTGCTTGGGGATGAGTGTCTAGGCTCAGAGACTTTTATTATGAAACAAGAAGGCCCATGGAGTAAGCCCGAAGGTGCCGAGAGGACGGAGCTTAGAGGTGTCGTCGGGTCAGCGCCAGCAGAGCCTAGGCGCTGGGCTTCTTGGGCCCCCTGCGTCCGCCTCAGCGTGCAAAGCTCCCTTGCCAGGAGGCCGGGAGGCCAGCGGGCTCAGCGTCGGCTTATTCCTGCAGCCCGTTTCTCTCCTCAAATAGCAAACACTGAAGCGGGAAATGAAGAGGCGCCAGAACGGATTAACACGAGCAAAGCCCGCTTCTAGGTAAACCTAGCAAGACCCAAGGAAGAGAAAAGTTTATCGCAACGTTTGGAGCAAAATCGGAACTGTAACTGCAGAAGAAATGTTATATTATTTAAATCATCGTAGGATCTTGACAGCTTTCTGTCGGTACATTAGACAACTTAGAAGAAACCGATAGAGTTTTGTGTAGAATTATACAAATTATCAGAAACAGCTAAGGAGGATAATTCAGTCATCATTCATAAAAGCATGAGGCCCAGAGAGTTTTACGGGCAAACTTTACCAAACTTTTGAGAATAGATCATCTTAAAATGAGGCAGAGAATTGGAAAGAGGGGGGCTACTTAGCCTGATTTATGAAGCTGGTCCAGAGATTTTTAGAGGCAAGTTTTACCCAACCTTCAAAGAATAATCTTATACAAATCATTTCAGACAGGAGGGGATTGGGGAGAAACTCGTGTAATGAGGTTGGCCTGATGATACCAAGTGTTGGCAGGGATGTGGGCGCTGAGCCGTGGTCAGGAGCACAGACAGGGTCTGGAGCAGACAGCCCAGCTCCACCTGGCCCCTGGGCATGAGGGCCGCCAGCCTCCCTGCCTCCCAGGACCTCCTTCCCGAGGACGTAGAGAGGGTTAACACAAGAAACAGTTCGCATGGTCCTTGGCCATGGTGATGCGATGTTATGAAGAAACCTCATGACTGATGGGAGTACAGACCGATGACCAACTGGGAACCCAGTTCCGCAGTTCTGGAGGTGACCGTGGAGCGACCCAGTCGCCTGCATGTCCCGTAGCAAACAGCCCACCTGTCTCCTACCAGGAGCAAAGGTTGTGACGCATTTGTATGTCGCCTTCTCTGTGGCAATGAAATCAAGAGATTCCGTCTATCAAGTGAACATTTCTCAAAATTATAACATTGAGCAAAAACAGCGAGTAGCAGAACATATGACACATGTGCAATTTTAAAACCCTGCTGAGTAGCACAGTAGACGCCAATGGAGACCCCAATACGTAGCAAAAGTAAGCGTGGGAATAATAAAGTCTAAACTTGAGACAGCAGCTTGGGAGGGATGCAAAGGGGGACATTATTTTCAAATGTTACACTTTTTAAAATCTCAACGTGTACAAAAGTTTGGCAGGAAGTAAACAAATACACGTGGGGGTGCGAAGGGGCTGCGTGGGGTTCGTGTCTTTTGTGCGTATATTTGAAATGTCACACAATTAAAAAGTGGGCGGCTTGGTGACCAGCCGGGGTTTGGTCCTCGAGTGGGGGGTTGTTGCTGCGGTGGCAGTAGCCGGATCTTCGGCCACGTCGCCCCAGAGTTCAGCAGCGGACGTACTTTGGAGGCCCTGCACCCCCCTCAGCTCCTGGGGTCTCTGTAGGCGGTGGCACCAGCAAAGTGCCAAAGACCCTGGTGGCCTTCAGGGCTGCCCGGCTCCTCTTAAATGTGCGTGTGTGTGCACAGACGGCCCGTCGTGTGTCCGTCATTCGTGGCCCTAGGTTGCCTGCTGCTGACACTTTGCATCTTGGCCTCAGCGTTAACGCAGACCCTTCGGTGAAAGGAAGACGCTGCATCTCCCCCCGGGACCTGTGTGAGACGTGGTGAAAGGTGACCCCCCCCAGATAGAACAGGAACCGATTTACTTTCGGTTGTCAGTATTTGCTAAGTTTTATCGCTACTAGAGCACGAAGCAACGTACTGGCCAATTTAAAGACTTCGAAAGCGGGCAGCCTGTGGTGGGGACAGGCCGGCCCCGATGGCGCGGAGGGCGGGGCTTCTCGCTCGCTCCGTCGGTTGTCCTGACGTGTCTAATGGGCTCCTATGTTGCCGAAGGTTGGGAAAAGTGGAAACATTCCAGCAGGCACAACCGTGGACACGAAGATCACCCACCCCACCGAGTTTGACTTCTACCTGTGCAGTCACGCTGGCATCCAGGTAAGGACGGAGGGGCCCCTTTGGACTGAATCTTGATGTCGCCGTGACCTCGTGTATACATCCAGCACACACATGAAGAGCACGACCCTCGTGCCAGGTGCTCTAGTGGGCACTGGGGACGCAGTGGTGAGCAGCTCTCATGGGGCTCCCGCCCATCCCGAGGGAAGTCGGGTGCTTGACCAGTGGACAGAGGCTCAGGACGGCCAGTGTTGGGGACGAAGGACCCACTGGGCTGCCATGCTGGGGGGCCTGGGTTAGAGTTGATGAGGTCCAGGCGGAAGGAGCAGTGAGTGTGAAGTCCAGGAGCACTGGTGGGGGACAAGGGCGACATGGGGCTCAGCGAGCCAGACGAGCGCTCAGAGGTGACGGAACCACCGCCCCGGAAGGCCAGCGTCCTGGATTCAGCCCCGTGTCCCTCTCCACCCACATTCACTGTCGCCCTGTGGCTCGTCATCACCCAGAGGCTTTCCTGGTCTCTGCTGGTGAAGAGGCCCACAGCTGGCCAGCACGGAAGTGCCACGGCCAGCCACACCCATAGTCAGAGCTGGGCCACCAGGACCTGCGAAGCTGTGCCCCTTGGGAACATCTAACATAAACAAATGGCACTGTCTTCGACGCAGTGATTTTTATAGTGTTTCGTCTTGTCCTACGAGTTTTCTATACGTAAATAAATGTGTGTAAAGTCTTACATTTTACACAGGGGGTGATGAAACACACAGTCCGATGCTTCTCTATAAGCGCACGTGGTGACGTTAGTATCTGTTCGTCATTCATTCCTTCCGCTGCATTCTTTGCAAAGAGTTTACGTGCCCAGTGTGTCTGCAGCGCTGTCTCACAGCACCTCCTGCGGCGAGTTCCAGTCTTCTCTCTGACCCTCTGATCTGCTCCTAGGGGACAAGCAGGCCTTCCCACTATCACGTGCTTTGGGATGACAACCGTTTCTCTTCCGACGAGCTGCAGATTCTCACCTACCAGCTGTGTCACACCTACGTGCGCTGTACGCGCTCTGTGTCCATCCCGGCACCAGCATACTACGCTCACCTGGTGGCCTTCCGGGCCAGGTACCACCTGGTGGATAAGGAGCATGACAGGTGAGTGGCAGGCCTTTCCGGGCTGGAGGGTGGCGGCAAAGGGGGCATTTCTGAAACAGGCTTTGGCAGCTGCTTTTTTCGGAGTGGAAGACGGTGGGGTCCCAGTGGCTGCCGCCGACTGACCCAGACGCCAGCCCCTTCGCTGCCCCTTGTCAGCTGTGTCCCCACATGTCCGGTGCACGGTCCTGACGTAGCTGTCGGGGCGCTGCTGCGTGCTGCGTTAAAGGCTGCTCCCTCCGTGTCTCCCTGTCCCCACAGTGCTGAAGGAAGCCATACCTCCGGGCAGAGTAACGGACGAGACCACCAGGCGCTGGCCAAGGCGGTCCAGGTCCATCAGGACACGCTGCGCACCATGTACTTTGCTTGACGCGTTGTCATGTTTACGATTGTGTGCCGAGTTGGATTCACATGAGACCAGCTACACTCAGACCAACAGACGCCCAGCCCTTCTGTGACAGCCAGCATCGAACATGAGACGTCATCGATTTTAGCAGAGCCTCTGTTTTCCAGAATGCCTTCCGTCCCAGATTTCAAACTCGGATTCTGAACTGCAGACCTGTATGAGACCCCATTGCCGCAGGAAATATGGTTTGCCAAAATCTATAAGCTGCTTATTAAAATAGAGTCCCGTGTTTCCTAAAAAATCTCCTAAAAGCAGTCTATGAACTCAGGGCTTTAAAACATTTTTAATTTATTTGGTCATTCAATGTACTTGTTTGTAACACATGATTCTGTATGAAATTGATGGGCTCAAACTAGCTGTGGACGTTCTCTGAGAGAGAGCAACACAAACACGACTGCGGTTTTAAAGCCTTGACCATTCTGATGTTGTCACTAGAGCTGATGGGAAAGCTATGCGAGCGTGCTCCTGACTTGGCTTACACAAGCTCTTCAGGACCCGAGGGCAGGTGGCGCCCACAGGTGTCCCATTCTGCCACTGCCTGCCTTTCCCTCAGCCTGAAGTAAGGAGCAGTGGCAGAAGGTGGTCCACGTGCGTTTACAGCATTTCTAGGTCCAGAGAGATTGGCAGACAAGTGCCATTTTAATAAAAATTTATTTAAAAAAAAAAAAAAAAAGAAAAAAGACGATATGCCGACAGTCTAATCATAAGATTTGTCCTATAGGACTGTGACATTTATTTTCCAAAGTTTCTAAAGAATACGGGTCTGTGGTGATAAATACAGTACAATCCTTTTTCACTGTTATGTCTTTGATGTAAGAGAAAAAAATATATACCTGGTTTGCAGTATTAATGTGATAGGTAGATGCCGTTTTCATTTTATTGACTCTGGGGTGCTTCATGTGATCGTCCGGCCTATCGAGAGTGTCCGGAGCCTGGAGACGGAACCGCCTCTTGAGGCTCTCAGCGCTTAAGTACAAGAGTATGCAACTGACTTACTGTGACAGCCGCCCGCCTCCCCCGCGTGTAGCTCGTGTCGCCTGTACCTTCGGGAGGACCGGCGCGCTCACGGCGGTCGCCCGCCCCCCTCCCTGCCTCCTCAGCCCCGTGCGTTGCTCGGCCGATTAAGCACAAGTGGAACGCGTGTGCCCCTCCGGCCCTGGGAGCCACGCCCTCCTGTCACCTCGTGGGTGGTGGTGTTGGCGCGCGCCCCGGGATCAGTGCCCGGCGACGGTGGCCCTCTGTGTGGGGCGCGAGGCCAGCAGGCAGCGCCCGAGCCCTGCCTCAGGAGGATGGCGGACCGAAGCCGGCAGGAGAGGCGGCCGCTTCTGCTCGGGTGTGTGTCCTGGGCCGGACGTGGGTTTGCCAATCCAGAAACCATTGCACTAAGAGCGATGCCACGGGCGACTTGGGAAGGGTGACAACCGACAACTCTGTTTGTGCTAAATGGGCCTTTTGTTCTCGTAGGCAGTTTTATGAGAATCAAGTCCACGTTCATTGTAGAGATTCAGGGAAGGACGCGAACCTTCCCCAGTGCTGCTTTGTGCTCTGTAGGTTTCCGGTCCCTGCTGACTGCCCTCCCTCCCTGGCCTGCCGTTTACCTCTGCGCTGTTGGGGATGAGGGTCCCCACCCCCGACGGGGGCGCCTCGTGCTACATGAGTGCCCACCTCTTGTCCGCCGGCTCCGAAGGGTGGGAGGGGGCCGGGAGCCGCAGGGGGAGCCCTGCCGGACACGTGGCCCGGGTTTTGGTGGCGATGGCAAAGGGATGAGTATTGTTTGTGAAGCTGTCTACTCAGAGTGGTGTGCGCGTGCGTAAGCGTGGGTGTCCTGTGTGCATGTAGGTGTCTTATTAATGGCATTAGTCTCTTTTTGCTGTATCTTTTTTTTTTGTCTTTTTGAATGACAGAAGCCTCTGCTCTAAGAAATGTTGCAGTTCCCTGTCGTTTTGTTGGCAAGTGGCACTTCCCCCTATTTTCAGAAGGACACCAGTACACTCTTGGCTTAGATTACCAGGAGCATTCGAGCCAAGGAGGGAATCTTCACTTTCAAATTCTTCAGTTAGGTCAGTTTTCAGCCATCTTTAGGGTCGTCTAGAGCCGCATGTCTCAGGGTGTGTTCCCGCCACCCGCGGGGGGACCTCGGTGGGGGCAGTGGCGGAGCTTGGTAAAATGCCTACTCCCGGGCCTCGCCGCCGGCTCCCGGATCCGGTTGTCCGGGGCCGCCTGGGGTCTCCGGGCCCCTGAGCTGGAGCTCTCTGAAAAGGGACGGCTGTCCCCCGAGCACAAAGGGACATGTTCTCTAAGCTAAAACCTAGTAGAGGACACAAGCTGGCAGGAAATTAGACCTACGTTGTTTTGTTGTTTTTTTTTAAATTATTTTGAAGGAAAAGTTTTCTTTTCAGTGGGCCAAAGTACTCTGAGAAGGGCGTCTTTGACAGCCCGGTGCTTGTTTTATGAAACTTGTCATTCTAAAAGCATTTCTTTCCGGACCAGCCGTCTCCAGCTGGGCTGGCCACACACCTTTGGTCCTGTCCGTTGATTGAGAATTCAGATGGCTGTAGGTATGATCTCTCAGGTAAATAATTGTCCCAAATTTCTACCAGTCCCCCCATTGTTAGGATGATTGAGTTCTGAGACAGCGTGGATTAGTCCAAGCCCCGTGCGTTTGGAAGCCGAAAGGGGCCTGGGCGGTCATCTGGCTGGGCTGGCCCCGTGGGGCCACCGTGTCACCGCGTGCCGGCTGGCTTTGCCCCGCCCTGCTCTTAGGGGAGGTGTGCCTTGCTTCGAGCAGACCGAACGGGCACATGATGGCGTAGAAACGGCGACTCGTTTCAAAGGAAAACTGAGAATTCTCTCATCTCCTTAAAAGACATCTCCCGATGAGATCCTCATACCGGAGCTTCTCCTGGCGCATCTTAAAACACTCTAAGGAAAGCTAACATATTCTCATCCCTTCGCTGCCGCCTAGTACATGGGGGACGCTGTCACCCTGAAGAAACAGGGCCAGCTGTCAAGTCGCCATTCTGTGAGGAGCCCTTTGGGGTCTCCCCGCTGTCTCGGACTCACAGCTCCATCCCTGGGGCCAGGCAGACCTTGTAACCCCGGGCGCGCCACACTGTTAGGGGTCGCTGGGCTCGGGCAGGGGTCTTCACACAGACTCGCTTCCTACATGTCAGGGCTGCCTCTTCCTTTCGAGATGATGTTGCTTCTCGTTGGTCTCACACCCCCGCGAATGAGTGAATGAATGTGCTCTAGACGGTCCCGGGCCCCACGGGGGGACGCCCTGCTGGAGACGGCATGACATCCGCGCTCCTCGAGGCTGGCCGCGATCACTGCCATTCCCGATGCTTATCTCCCTGGTCATCGAGCGCAGGTCAGAAGAGACGATTTAAGTTCAGTTCCCAGTGGGATTGGGAGGAGGGTTATTGATGTTATAGTATATGTTATTTTTATTGTTGTTAAATGCAAATGTTGCTATTTATTTTTTTCTTTCTGCTCTGGTTTGATTTGGCCGATGTAGATATTCCAGTGCACGTGGTACCTGATGGATACGATAGAAATTATTTCCCCCAACTTTTTATAAATCACCTAATGTTTACCTTCAAGTTTGCCGGATGCTTTATTTTTTTGAAAGTCACAAATGTAATTTTTCTGGATGAATTGTTTTTCTTACGTACGCAGCAGTGTAGTTTTACATTGATCTGCGGGGTGATTTAAATTTTATTTTTGCAAGGCAGTTTTTTCAGTCAAATTATATATTTGATACAATATATTAAGGGTGGACCCGCCAAGCGTCGTGCAGTCCTAGGAAGGCCTGTGGGGCTGGGCCAGCTTCTCTCGGTCACCCGACGTCACGGACGCAACTCGGCTTGTTCCCAGAGCTGTCAGGATCTGGGGGTCGTCCTTCAACGGGACTTGGAGCTGTCGGACAGTTAAAAGGATTTCCACGGGCATTTACTACAGCTGAGGCAGTTCCGTTAGGAGGGCCTGTAGAAGTTGACATAACCCAGACAGTGGACAATCCCCGTGGCCCAGACAAGCCATAGACATTTCCCTGTGACCTCTGACTCATCTCTCACGCTCACGAGAAAAGGAATGTACAGTAAGGCGCGACCTCCTCGGCGTTCGTGCCCCTCATTGCAGAATGCATCTGTCTCATTTACGGTGTCAGCCCCGCCCGGAGTAACCAAGGACCGCCCTCTGGCTGCCGAGCCAGCAGTTTCGGCTGCTGTGACGTTTCTCAGTGCAGACACCGTGCACGTGTGACTTTGTCCTGGGGTTGTCCGTGTTACACACACATGCTCTTTTTTGGTAAGGAAAATTTTCAACTCAGAATGATTGCACTGATTTTGACAACATCCTTTTTTATTATGTCCAACTTCGCATCTGCTGTACTTGTTTGAAATGATTGTAAATAGATGTAGCTTAGCAGAGGTGACATGGACACGACACGTTGTTTTCGTGACGATGCCACGTTTTTCAGTATTATGTGTTAGAGTTGTGTGGACTTATCCTGTTCTTTAGCCTAGTGTCTGTTAACCGTTCATGAAGGACAAATTAGCCTCGTTTTCTTGTTTTTCGGAAAGGAAGTTAGCATCTCTCGAGAGGGGGCTCTCTCCTTGAGGTCTGCAGATTTACGTGGAAGAGGATTAGTTGTAAATGCTTTGAACACTCTTGTGGTCTGTTTAATCCCTGGTTCGCCATGACTCCCGAAAGCATTTTCTCCCAGTTCCGTCCAGCATTCGACAGGTCGGACGGGAAGCGTCTGAGTGGCCGGTGTTCACAGGGGCCGAGGGCCTCCCTGGTCAGCCATCGTTTTAAAGCCGCGAGGTCACCGTTGCGTCAGAACGGTCATCTGCGGCTTAACCCACAGATGCTAGAGAGACCTGAAACCCCACGCTGTTCCTTTACGTCCTGTGATTTTTCTGCTCGATTAGCCGTGTTCGCTCCAGCCCGGTGTGTGATTCTGTTTGGGGTCAGGCAGCACAGTAAGACCCACGGAGGAGCTCCTAAACCCAGCCCCGTCACCAGGGTGCTCGTGCATGTCACGTGGATGCGGTCACAGTGCCCTCACCTAACGCTTTTCTGGATATGTTTTGCCATGTTATTGTCTAAAGTGAATGTAAAAATCACTACAGAAGGTGGTTTCTAAATACCTTTTAGTTTAAAAAAAGTAACCGCAGATAAAGGCTACCTCTGAATTCTCGGTCGATTCATGTTTGCTCTTAAGCGTAGCTGTCCACACTGAAAGCAGCCAAAATGTTGCCCGAATAAACTGAATTGTGAACATCTCTCTGTTCGGTTCTGGCTTGAAAATTTGTGTGCCATACTGTGACCCGTGGGCAGTCCCCTCCTCCCCCTGAGGTGTCGGTGGTGGCCCGGGGCCCACTCACAGCCTCCCAGCTCTGAGAGTCCAGGGTTCTGAGTGGCCAGTGGGCGTGAAATGGGGGCTTTTCCGCGCTGTCCTCGTGGGCTGGCAGGAGCGTCTCGTGCGGGCGTGTGTGGCGGGACCTCAAGGCGACCTGCCATCTTGGCTTCTTCCGGCCCCGTTCACTAAGAAAGCACTTTTTTCCCCGCTTTACTTATGAATGAGTGCAAATGGCTCCCTCTGCTCTGTCCTCCCTTTTCGTTCACGCCGTGAGGTCACCGAGGTGTTGGACACCCGCTCTCACACAAACCCTACTTCCTCAGTTGCCTCCTGGCTTTGGAAAACAATGCAGGCACAGTCACCCTTCGGCTTGGGAACCTGGGGTTACCATCCCCCCCACCACCCCCTGACGTGACACTCATCTAATGTCTAAAAGCAAAACTGTCCAAGGCCCTCGTTTGAAAGGACGCTGAGCCACAGCAGCGTTGCT